GCATTATTCTATATTGCTACATTTACATTTACGTCATTTAGCAGACGCTCTTATCCAGAGCGACTTACAGTTTAGTGAGTCCCCCTGTGGGAATCAAACCCACAACCCTGGCGTTGCAAACACCATGCTCTACCAACTGAGCTACATCCCTGCCGGCCATTCCCTCCCCTACCCTGGACGACGCTGGGCCAATTGTGCGCCGCCCCATGGGTCTCCCGGTCACGGCCGGCTACAACAGAGCCTGGATTCGAACCAGGATCTCTAGTGGCACAGCTAGCACTGCAATGCAGTGCCTTAGACCACTGCTACAACATGCTCTTTCTCAGACATCCAGTCATTGATTGAGTTGAGCTCCCAGACCACATCCACTCAGTAGTAGCCTAAGGATATGTCAAACACTGGATGGTGGGATACCCCTCTCTCCATCCATCCATCCATCCATCCATCCATCCATCCATCCATCCATCCATCCATCCATCCATCCATCCATCCATCCCCACACCCACATCACTAGAAAGGAGACACAGCAGGGAAATCCCCATCTCCTGTAGCTACATGCTGCTGACATCTGCAATTTGTCCTATTCAGCCCAGATTCCATTAAGCTTCTGAGCAGAGGAATGTGATGTTTATAGCTCTCAGCTCTTAGAGAAAATAATGAAAGTGTACTGGAGAGAGTGAGCTCCCAAGCTAAAGTGGGAATGGGACTTTGTTCCCAGATGAGGAGCTGGTTGTGCCACATTAAGCTAAGGTACATCATCTATCCTTTTACTGCTTTAATAGTGCATGTACTGCAATAGGTCATATATTAAAGTGCAAGCTGGTGAAAGATGCATGTATTGTATTGACACACACACATGCATGTACACGCTCATGCACACACACACACACTCGCTCATGCGTGCATGCATATGTGTGTGAGAGAGAGAGCAGAGTACATCACATGTAATGAGACATATGCTTCCATGACAACAGACAGACACGGTCGTTGCTAAGTTACTGCCAGTATCCATGGAAATGGCTCTGAACCTGTCTGAATAAGTGTTCAGTTTTGAAGCAGCATGTTGTACTGTATACTGTATATCCTCCAGGTTGCTGAGTCAGATAGGTTCAGATGCCTGTAGAAGCAGCTGAAATAATCCTCTTCTTTGACAGTCAATCCACCTCTATTACTGAATTTATGAGCCATTTGCAAAATGTGCGCCATTTTCAACTACATAGGATAAATCAATCCATGTAAACGTGATGCCAGCAGCAGTCCATAGTCACATGATACGGCAACTGAAGGTGTACTGTAGATGGAAGTACTAACATCAGCATATAGAGGCATTCAGCTATCAGGACTTGAAATCAGTAGCCCACGTCACATTACACTGAACGTCCTCATCCAGACACCTACTAGGTCCAAATCAGGTTAACCCATTTATAATGTAACCACTGGTCCAAATGTTGGCAACACATTTGCTGAATGGGAGGAGGGCATCCAATGCGACAAGGATGCTGTGAAGGAATCCCTACCCAAAAGAGAAGTACAGCATTTAATTGGTATGTCATTGTCATCATTAGCAATGCACAGGGGGATGGGATCATACACAGACAAAGGCTTAGCTCTATGTAGACATACGAAGGCTTAAACACTGACAAAGGTTATTTACACTATTTGGATTGTGCCTAAATGTTCAACTAACTATCAACACATTTCTTACTTACTATCCAGAACCCTAACCCTAACCTCAGCTCAATACCTAAACCTAATCCTAGCATCTATAGCATATCAGCCATCACGCCCTATCTGATGACCTGTTTGATTTCTGATCATTGACACAGGTTTAAAAAGACAGCAGTAGCTCACACAAGATGAATTAATCCAATTTGTCTTGATGCTGGCCTTAATTGTGCTATATAGTGTGGACCAGAAAAAATCAGAAGTGTTTTGATTGCTTACTAATGCGGTTCTTTGTGTGTATTATGTTTCACTACAGATCACGTCATTCAGAAATTTGGGGTGGACTTCGGACAAGTGAAGGCAGTGATCCGGACATAGCTGAACAATGAGGGCAGGGTGTAAAGATAAGATAAGATCATTACTTTATTATCCCCGTGGGGAAATTTTGGTTGCGGCTCTGTGCATACATAACACATAATCAGAGATACAATAGACAAAGGACATATACAGACAGTAAATACAAGTAGAAAAAGTGTAATTCATGAGCGATCAATGGTTCATCTGTACAGTATACACAACAGAACACTCTATCAACCACAATGTTAGCTGTAGGCCTCTATCAACCACAATGTTCAGGAGCCTTACTGCTGCTGGGACAAAGGATCATTTGGCCCTATTTCTTTTGTGCCCTGGTACCCTGTAACGTCGCCCAGTGGGGAGTAGCTCAAACTCCTGGTAAAGAGGATGTCTGGGGTCCATCAGTGGGCTTTTGTTAAGGCTCTTATATCAGAAATGACCTCCAGACCTGTCTGCTTGACCCCTAGCACCTTACTAGCAGAGCTACCAATTTTTCTTAACATATTTCTCTGAGAGACACTAGCATTTCCGTAGCAGCAAATTATGTTAATATGTTAAGATACTTTCAATGAATGACTTGTAAAACAGTGACAATAGAACACAATCAACATTAAAATAGCTACATTTCCTTTGCTGTCCTTTCTTTTAAATCTGCTTAGTACACATTTCCCATTGTATCTTGTGGTCAAGTAGGTATTTATACTGCTCCACTACATCTATGTCTTGTCCCTTAACAACAGTCGGTGGGGAAGGTGTTAAATTTTTCCTAAAATCGATGTGCATCACTTTGGTCTTTGTTGTATTGAGCACTAAGTGAGAGTCGTCACACCACGTGAAAAATACCTCCAAGACTGGCCCGTGCTCCTCCTCGTCACCCTGGAATAGACTGACAAGTGCTGTGTCGTCTGCAAACTTTATCAGGTGTCTACCAGGGTAGGTGCTTTTAAAGTCATTAGTGTACAAGATGTACAACAGTGGAGAAAGCGCACAGCCTCGAGGAGATTCCACGCTAGTGGTGCGCTTGTCTGACATCCACTGTCCCACCTTGACCTGCTGTGTCCAATTGTTAAGGAAATCAAGAATTTGAAGCAGAGGCCGTAACTCTCTTTCTCTCATGTACGCGCGCACACACACACTCTCTCTCTCTCTCTCTCTGCTTTTCTCTCTTTCTCTCATATCTCTCTTTTTTCGGCTTTGTCTTAATTAGTTATTTAAGGTAATGTAAAATGTTCATTTAAATTTTTTATTTATGTCATTACAATTGACCTTGGAATTTTAAGAATAAAGTAATTATTGAATTTCACATTTCCGATTCTTTTTCTTTTGTATATTGCATTTAAGAAGATACACTACACATGTTTTGATTCTGTGCGTTACTAGTACTAGTGACACATTTTATATGCATTTAATGTGCAGTTGTACTACAGTAGCAGTACTGCAGTAACATAACTGTTTATTGCAGTTTGACTGCAGTACTACAGCAATAGAATAACTACACTTTTACTGCAGTAATGAAACTGCTGTAAAAGTGTTTTCCCATAAAATTTCAGTTTTATGAAAGTCAGTTCAACTGCATTCAAAATAACGCAGTTTTTGTTTTTACATCATGGTCTGCATGATGTACGCATGATGACGGTTGTTAAATTGGTCCCAGATTCAGCACAGACATAGTGTTTACACTAATATATAAACAGCAGGGTTAGAGTTAGGGTTATGGCTATGGTAAGGGTTGAAACAGGGTGTAGACATGAAGCTAGGGTTAGGGTTATGGCTAGGGTTAGGTTGTGCCAGGGTGTGTGGACATGAAGCTAGAGCTAGGGTTGAGCCAGGGTGTGGACATGAAGCTAGGGTTAGGGTTAAGATTAAGGCTGAGCAATGGTGTGAACATGAAACTACGGTTAGGGTTGACCCAGGGTGTCAACATAGGACAAGAGGAAAGTGTGGAGAGACATGGCAGATGACAGTGAGCAGGGCTCCTCCACCTCAAAATTCCCAATTTAAGCCCTGATAGTGACAAATTCATGATGCCTAACTAAAGTAATACCATTCCATTCCATTACCATTTATTTTTTTGCCAATGGATGAGATACAGTACGGACTGATGTGTTGTGGTTATTTTTAACCATAGCTGAATTGTTGGTAATGAAATAGCTAACTTAAATGAATGCATTTACAGTCTTATTTGACTGGTTGTCATGTGTTGTCAATATATTCAAATAATTTACAATCAAAGGTTAGTTCATTGTGATACTCAATTTATTGTCATTCATGTCCAGTTTGAGGGGTGACAATTAAAACTTGCATCATGATTCCACCTAGTAGTGAACTTAAAGAACATACGGCTCGTATTCAATTCAGCATCTCTTTATTCAATCTCAACTTCAAACATTAAACAAACTGAATAATATGCCAATTGGACCAGCTGCAATCTGAAAGATGGAAAACTATAATTGACCTTCATAAACATTCAACCTACATTCAAGTAATAAATCTTCAAAGTCAGCAAATCAAAAAACATCCAACCAGTAGTCTTTAAAAAAATGTATTATATATATATTTTCTTCTGTATTTTACCCTCTTTTTCTCCCCAATTTCAATCTTGTCTCATCACTGCAACTCTCCAATGGGCTCGGGAGGTAAAGATCGAGTCATGCGTCCTCCAAAACATCGTCCTCCGAAACATGACCCGCCAAACAGTGCTTCTTAACACCCGCCCGCTTAACCCGGAAGCCAGCCATACCAATGTGTTCGAGGAAACACCGTTCAACTGACGACAGAGGTCAGCCTGCAGGTGCCCGGCCCTCCACAAGGAGTCGCTAGAATGTGATGAGCCAAGTAAAGCCCCCCGGCCAACCCCTCCCCTAACCCGGACGACACTGGGCCAATTGTGCGCCGCCCTATGGGACTCCCGATCACGGCTGGTTGTGATACAGCCTGGGATTGAACCCGGGTCTGTAGTGACGCCTCTAGCACTGCAATGCAGTGCCTTAGACCACTGCACCACTCGGGAGGCCCCCAACCAGTCTTAAGTATAGATTTATTTGGCTACAATATAGTTCTATCCCACAATCATGTAAACCCTAAGGGCCAGTTTCCCCCAACCAGCAGCTACAGTATTATATGTGTCTATGAGTCTGGTCACTCTCTTAAGTACTCTCCTCTTCCTCCTCCACCCCGAGCAGGCAGGTGCTTGCGATGGCACCCGTCACGGCATAAGGGTCACAGTTGGCGGAGGGCCGGCGGTCTTCAAAGTATCCCTTCCCCTCCTCGCCCACCTGCCGTGGGATCCGGATGCTGGCCCCGCGGTTGGCCACCCCGACAAAGAAGTCATGGATGCTGGAGGTTTCATGTAAGCCTGTGAGGCGTCTGATGTTGTCCTGGCCTCCGTGAGGGTCGTACACACGTATGTGCTGGGCATGTCGCTTGCTCAGCTTCTCAATGGCCTGCTCAATATGTCTGATAGAAGAGGGGAGAGGTTAGGTGTTGGACTGAATCTCGTAGTTACACAGCCTTACAGAACCTTACAGTGCAATAATGTTTTTACAGTAATACTCACTGCAGCCCCCCTTCTTCCCTCATCTCCTTGGTGCTAACGTTGGTATGGCAACCCGCCCCGTTCCAGTTCCCCTTCATTGGTTTGGGGTCCAGAGTGGCTACAACTCCAAAGTCCTCACACACACGGTGCAGCAGGAAGCGTGCCATCCACAGGTGGTCTCCCATCTCTATCCCCTCACACGGACCCACCTGGAACTCCCACTGAGAGAGGGAGATAAAAGAATGAGAGTTAGGAAATATTATATAGCCATCTGTAGAACCTTCCTGAAAGACTACAGCATTGTAGCAAAAGGTCAAAGTTTACCTGAGATGGCATGACCTCAGCATTGGTGCCACAGATTTTGACCCCAGAATAGAGACATGCCTTGTAGTGACACTCCATAATGTCTCTTCCATAGGTGTTGTCGGCACCAACCCCACAGTAGTATGGACCTGAGAGAGAGAGAGAAAGAGAGAGAGATAGATGGGACCAAAATCAAAGGCCTATTTGATAACATTAGGACTTATATAGACAGAGATATATTTCATATATGTAGTGCTTTTCCAAGTGCTTAAGACCATTTACATTACTAAAGGACACATGGTAAAATATAGTAGGGTCAGTCACCTTGGGGTCCTGGGAATCCATTTTGGGGCCAGCCATAGGGGCGACCATCCATCCCCTGGAGAGTGTACTCCTGCTCCATTCCAAACCAGAGGATATAGTGCTTCACTTCCTCCATCACCTTCTTACAACCTGATCGCAGGTTACTCTCTGTACAGGAGGGAATAGGTGTATATTGTAGGGTTAGTTTGACTGACGGGAATATGAGACAGTCAAAGCAGTCAATTAGTTAGATGCTGTCTATCATAGACCAAAACCAGTTGGTCTCTGTGTCTGTCAACTGAAGTAGGAAAGGAATCTCTTGCTATGTTTACAATTACCTGCAGGCAAGCGGTTGTACTTGAGGACCTCACACATAACCAGTTTGTTGGATCCCAGTGTGAAAGGGTCCCTAAACATTGCCACTGGGATCAGGTACATGTCACTGTTGGATCCCTCGGCCTGGTAGGTGCTGGAGCCATCAAAGTTCCACTCTGGAATATCTGCCAATAGCAATACCAACATTAACATGATGGAATATAATGCACTGTCCTAGAGATATAATGTTCTGTGAGATGGGCCTAGTGTTTTGGGCTTGACAGTGTTCTGGTCTATTCTATCAACGGGACCTGAAGAACTGTAATATCCTATATTTCTCGAAGTCGTGGCTGAACAAGGACATGGATAATATACATCTAGCTGGTTTCTCTATGCATCGTCAAGACCGAACGGCAGCTGCGGGTAAGGTTAAGGGGGAGGTGTGTGTCTCTTTGTTAACAACAGCTAATGCGCAATCTCTAATGTTAAGGAAGTCTTGATGTTTTGCTCGCCTGAGTTAGAATACCTCATGATAAGCTGCAGACCATACTATTTACCAAGGGAGTTTTCCGTAGCTGTCTATTTACCATCAAAAACCGATGCTGGCAGTAAGACTGCACTCAACAAGCTGTATAGGGCCATAAACAAACAAGAAAATGCACATCCAGCGGCAGCACTGCTAGTGGCCGGGGGATTTTAATGCAGGGTAACTGACAACAAAGAACTGTTACTCATTTTAAGCCCAAAAGTACATTCTGTCCTATGGTTAACTCCTCCTCGATTAATACCCATTGTAGGTTAGTCGAACAAGAAGCCATATCCGTGTAAATGAGAAAAACAAACCATATTCAGAAGAATCTCACCAGGACAGAAGAACAGGCACTCAATTAACTAATGAAAGACTCATCTTTGGTTATCAAACCTGCAGCCAAGGGGGGTGCTGTGGTCGTTTTAGACTATGAAAAATACAAAGAGATTCAGAGATTCAATTCAGTAATTAACGTTTCTATAGAAAACTGAGTGTTGATCCCACACTGGTGTTCCAAAGGGATATTAACTCAAATCTGGAGCAAGCCCCATTAAACAACCTTATCTCAAAACCTGAATATGACTACCTTTTCTGCAAATGTGTCATACATGCCTGTACCTTTTGCCTAAATTACATACATCTAAAAACACAAGGCAATTATCCAAGCAGACCAGTGGTCGCAGGAATAGGCTCAATGCTAGAACCATTGTCGAACTTTGTAGACTCCTTTATCAAATCTCATGTGCAAACTTTGCCATCATATGTGAAAGACGCTATAGATTTTACAAACAAGATCTCACCAATAACGGGATTAACAGAAGACTGTTTTTTGCTTACATTAGATGTCGAAAGTCTGTACACCAGCATTCCCCACACGGGGGGAAGACCGACACTACCTGAGACCGAAATAGCAACAAATACCCACTAACAAACTTTTTTCTAGAGCTGGCTGAATATGTTCTGACATAACTATTTCAGGTTTGATTATGTATACTGTCTCCAAACGAATGGAACATCGATGGGCTCCACATTCGCTCCAAGCTATGCTAACCTTTATGTGGGTCTATTTGAAGAACATTTTCAATGAAAATGAAAATCCATTCTTGAATAAAATCCTGAAGTGATATCGATATATTAATTTTTTTTTTGCATATGGGGAGGAACGGGAGAAGAGCTGTCAGACTTTATGACGTTACTCAATGACATTGACCCTAATCTAAAATTCACAATTGAATGTGACACTAAACCTGTTCATTACCTCGATATGTGGATTGAGAAATCAAATGGAACCCTATTTACAACTCTGTACAGAAAAGAAAGGGACATAAATTCTCTATTACATAGACTTCCAAGAAGCCCGTTTTTCAGCCTGCGCCATATATGCCACTCCACAGAGGACTATCTAGAAAAAGCAGTGGAAATACGCAATAGGTTTCTAATAAGAGGCTACCCTCCACAATGCGTGGCTGAAGATCTTAATATGGCACCAGGGAAAACACGAGATGAACTTCTACAAAAAAATACCCACTAGCGCTAAAGAACACTCAGTAATGTTCACCACCACATATACTTTGAGCTCGCGCAAAGTGGGAGATGCTGTCAAGAAATACTGGCATGTTTTATCATCGGACCCAGCTTTGTCAGCGGAATTTAAGAACTCACCACTTATTGTATTGGTCTATACCAGGGTTCTTCAATTCCGGTCCTGGAGGGCCGAAACACCTCTGTTTTTCATTCTCTCCTTCTAATCAGGGCCTAATTCAGACCTGGGACACCAGGTGAGTGCAATTAACTACCAGGTAGAAATAAAAAAACAGAAGTGTTTCGGCCCTCCAGGACCGGAATTGAAGAACCCTGGTCTATACCAACTGCCAGCCACAAAAGAAAAATGAGCCAGGCTCTTTTACGCCCTCTTCTGAATGGTAGCTATAAATGCAGAGGCTGCGCACTGTGCAACAATATGATGAAGTGTCAATTTTTCTGCCACCCACATACAGGAAAACGGTTCCAAATAAATTACATTATTACATGCTCCTCCACCCATGTTATCTACATGATTAAATGTCTATGTGGGTTGTTTTATATAGGAAAAACCTGTCGTTCTCACAAACAGAGAATTAGTGAACATAAAAGTTAAATCAGGAGAAACGACAGGGATTAAATACATTTTAATGACCAAAAACATGACATTTCTACATTTAGATGTTGTGGCATAGAGAAAGTCAAGATATCAGACAGAGGAGGGGATATAAATAATCTTCTGAGCAATACACCCTCCAGACATTATTCCCAAAAGGTCTTAATGATGAAATGTCCATGCATGTTATGTTGTAAATGTGAACATGAACTAATGCCTTGTAGTTAAAACCACTTCAGCCTACTCTGAAGTTTTTATCGTGCACTGTACCCAATGATTTATGAAAACTTACTTGATAGGTCGATGTCCTCATTGTGGTTTTACAGACATGTTTAATACGTTTTATGTACATACTTTATTAGAATATTTCTGAAATGCACGTTGTTATATTTGGTAACACGTTTATTTTTCCTTGACTCCAACCCCATTCGATGCACTGAACACTCACAAAAGCTCTGACGAAGTCATTGAGGCTTATGAGTAAAGCTTAATAAAGAACAGTGATACTAGTAAGAGCAGTGCTGGTTTCTTATTTCTCTCATGTTATTCAATTGTTACCATGCACCTGCAACAAAGATAGCTCAGATGTGCAAGTGCCTTTTGAATTTTGAATGCAGGGAAACTAAAATCGGTCTTACCTAATCTTTACCGGCATGTCACATGTGCACAGAAACGCATACAAAGCACTCCCTCGCCCTCCATTTGGCAAATCTGACCATAACTCTATCCTCCTGATTCCTTCTTACAAGCATTGACAACGTCGTCCCCACAGTGACCACATGTACATATCCCAACCAGAAGCCATTGATTACAGGCAACATCAGCACTGAGCTAAAGAGCTGCTGCTTTCAAGGAGGGGGACATTCATCTTCAAGCTTTGAGGCAAGCAACTCTGAACCATGCATGAGAGCACCAGCTGTTCCGGACGACTATGTAATCTCGCTCTCCGTAACCGATGTAATGACCCAATTTACATCGTGACGTATTTCATTACGCCATACGTCATCTTCACGGAGTCTTGTCCCGCTACTGAATGGACAAGTGTAGTGTTTGTAATGCAAGATGGAGAAGAACCTGTCTCTCATCAGAGATCGCATTTATTTTGGGAGATTGCAAAACATGACCTTTTCATTCAAGACAGGATAAATATATTGTTTCAGGTGATAATAAAACATGCTTTGTTTAGTAACTTTTTCCTCAACTTGTTTCTCTAATGTTATAGCATGTCAAGCTAGCTTACACTGCAGAGCAGCTAGCTAGCTAGCTAAAAGCTAGGCTAGGTTGAAGATACCATTGTAGCTAGCAACCTCCACCTAACAATTATCATCAAAAACCAAATGTCATTACCTTCACAATAAACTTAAACGGGAGGCAACATTCATATAATATAATTGGCTTAACAGCCAGGAGGAATGGGTAATTGTTTACAAGTTGCTAGCTATCCCATAAAGCCATCACTGAAAACCAAATATTTTCATCTTCTTCTGTTGTTTGGTAACTTCCTGTTCTTTGACGGACTCTGCCTGAACTGAAGACGACGTAAAGTTTGAAAAATGTCAAAGTATGCAGCCTTCAACCGCAAGGGGGGGCGTTGCGTTTCCACTCTGTTGTGGTCGTCCCCATTGAAATGCATGATATCCGGCACAACATACTTATTTGTAATGTGAACGAGGTTTGAGACCTTTAAACAGGTTAACATTCATAAGGACGCAGGGCCAGACAGATTATCAGGACGCGTACTCAGAGCATGCGCTGACCAGCTGGCAAGCACCTCTCCCTGACCCAGTCTGTAATACCTACATGTTTCAAGCAGACCACCATAGTCCCTATGCCCAAGAACGATGAGGTAACCTGTCTAAATGACTATTGCCCTGTATCACTCACATCTGTAGCCATGAAATGCTTTGAAATGCTGGTCATGGCTCACATCAACAGCATCATCCCAGAAACCCTGGACCCACTCCAATTTGCATACCATCCCAACAGAGCAATGGATTCAGCAATCTCTATTGCACTCCACACTGCCCTCTCCCACCTGGACAAGAGGAACACCTATGTGAGAATTATGTTCATTGACTATAGCTCAGCGTTCAACACCATAGTGCCCTCCAAGCTCATCACTAAGCTCAGGACCCTGGGACTGAACACCTCCCTCTGCAACTGGATCTTGGACTTCCTGACGGGCAGCCCCCAAGTGGTGAGGGGCAACAACACATCCGCCACGCTGACACTCAACACGGGGGCCCTTCAGGGGTGTGTGCTTAGTCCCCTCCTGTACTCCGTGTTCACCCACGACTGCCTGGCAGCGCACGACTACAACACCATCATTAAGTTTGCTGTTCACCGACGATGATGAGACAGCCTATAGGGAGGAAGTCAGTGACCTGGCATTGTGGTGCCAGGACAACAACCTCTCCCTTAACGTGATGAAGACAAAGGAGCTGATCGTGGACTACAAGCAAAGAAGGGCCGAGTATGTCCCCATCCACATCGACTGGGCTGTAGTGGAGGGGGTTGAGAGCTTCAAGTACCTCGGTGTCCACATCACTAAGGAACTATGATTGTCCACACACACCAACACAGTTGTGAAGAAGGCACACAAAGCCTCTTCCCCCTCAGGAGGCTGAAAAGATTTGGCATGGGCCCTCAGATCCTCAAAAAGTTATACAGCTGCATCACCGCTTGGTATGGCAACTGCTTGGCATCCGACCGCAAGGTGCTACAGAGGGTAGTGCGTAAGGCCCAATACATCACTGGGGCCGAGCTCCCTGCCATCCAGGACCTATACTATATATACAAAAGTATGTGGACACCCCTTCAAATTAGTGGATTCGGCTATTTCAGCCACACCCTTTGCTGACAGATTTATAAAATCGAGCACACAGCGATGCAATCTACAAAGACAAACATTGGCAGTAGAATGGCCTTACTGAAGAGTTCAGTGACTTTCAATGGTGCACCGTCATAAGATGCCACCTTTCCAACAAGTCAGTTCATCAAATTTCTGCCCTGCTAGAGCTGCCCGAGTCAACTGTAAGTGCTGTTATTGTGAAGTGGAAACGTCAAGGAGCAACAACGGCTCAGCTGTGAAGTGGTAGTTCACACAAGCTCACAGAATGGGACCGCTAAGTGCTGAAGCGCATAACGCGTAAAAATAGTTCTCGGTTGCAACATTCAATACCGAGTTCCAAACTGCCTCTGGAAGCAACGTCAGCACAAGAACTGTTCGTCCGGAGCTTCATAAAATGGGTTTCCATGGCCAAACAGCCGCACACAAGCCTAAGATATCCATGCGCAATGCTAAGTGTCGGCTGGAGTGGTGTAAAGCTCGCCGCCATTGGACTTTGGAGCAGTGGAAACTTGTTCTCTGGAGTGATAAATCCCCCTTCACCATCTGGCAGTCCAACTGACTAATCTGGGTTTGGCAGATGCAGGAGAACGCTACCTGCCCGAATGCATATTGCCAACTGTAAAGTTTGGTGGAGGAGGAATAATGGTCTGGGGCTGTTTTTATGGTTCGGGATAGTTCCAGTGAAGGGAAATCTTAATGCTAAAGCCTTCCCAGAAGAGTGGAGGCTGTTATAGCAGTAAAGACGGGACCAACTCCATATTAACGCTCATGATTTTAGAATGAGATGTTCGACGAGCAGGTGTCCACATACTTTTTTGTCAGAGGAAGGCCCTAAAAATTGTCAAAGACTCCAGCCACCCAAGTCATAGACTGTTCTCTCTGCTACCACATGGCAAGCGGTACCGATGCACCATCTGGAACCAACAGGACCCTGAACAGCTTCTATCCCCAAACCATAAGACTGCTAAATAGTTAGTTAAATAGCTACCCAGACTATCTGCATTGACGCTTTTTGCACTCTTTTGACTAGTCACATACTGTACGCTGCTGCTACTGTTTATTATCTATCCTGTTGCCTATTCACTTTATCCCTACCTACAGTGAGGGAAAAAAGTATTTGATCCCCTGCTGATTTTGTATGTTTGCCCACTGACAAAGAAATGATCAGTCTATAATTTTAATGGTAGGTTTATTTGAACAGTGAGAGACAGAATAACAACAAAAAAATCCAGAAAAAAACGCATGTCAAAAATGTTATAAATTGATTTGCATTTTAATGAGGGAAATAAGTATTTGACCCCCTCTCAATCAGAAAGATTTCTGGCTCCCAGGTGTATTTTATACAGGTAACGAGCTGAGATTAGGAGCACACTCCTAAGGGAGTGCTCCTAATCTCAGTTTGTTACCTGTATAAAAGACACCTGTCCACAGAAGCAATCAATCAATCAGATTCCAAACTCTCCACCATGGCCAAGACCAAAGAGCTCTCCAAGGATGTCAGGGACAAGATTTTAGACCTACACAACGCTGGAATGGGCTACAAGACCATCGCCAAGCAGCTTGGTGAGAAGGTGACAACAGTTGGTGCGATTATTCGCAAATGGAAGAAACACAAAATAACTGTCAATCTCCCTCGGCCTGGGGCTCCATGCAAGATCTCACCTCGTGGAGTTGCAATGATCATGAGAATGGTGAGGAATCAGCCCAGAACTACACGGGAGGATGATCTCAATGATCTCAAGGCAGCTGGGACCTTAGTCACCAAGAAAACAATTGGTAACACACTATGCCGTGAAGGACTGAAATCCTGCAGCGCCCGCAAGGTCCCCCTGCTCAAGAAAGCACATATAGAGGCCCGTCTGAAGTTTGCCAATGAACATCTGAATGATTCAGAGGAGAACTGGGTGAAAGTGTTGTGGTCAGATGAGACCAAAATCGAGCTCTTTGGCATCAACTCAACTCGCCATGTTTGGAGGAGGAGGAATGCTGCCTATGACCCCAAGAACACCATCCCCACCGTCAAACATGGAGGTGGAAACATTATGCTTTGGGGGTGTTTTTCTGCTAAGGGGACAGGACAACTTCACCGCATCAAAGGGACGATGGACGGAGCCATGTACCGTCAAATCTTGGGTGAGAACCTCCTTCCCTCAGCCAGGGCATTGAAAATGGATCGTGGATGGGTATTCCAGCATGACAATGACCCAAAACACACGGCCAAGGCAACAAAGGAGTGGCTCAAGAAGAAGCACATTAAGGTCCTGGATTGGCCTAGCCAGTCTCCAGACCTTAATCCCATAGAAAAGCTGTGGAGGGAGCTGAAGGTCCGAGTTGCCAAACGTCAGGCTCGAAACCTTAATGACTTGGAGAAGATCTGCCAAGAGGAGTGGGACAAAATTCCTCCTGAGATGTGTGCAAACCTGGTGGCCAACTACAAGAAACGTCTGACCTCTGTGATTGCCAAAAAGGGTTTTGCCACCAAGTACTAAGTCATGTTTTGCAGAGGGGTCAAATACTTATTTCCCTCATTAAAAGGCAAATGACTTTATAACATTTTTGACATGCGTTTTTCAGGATTTTTTTGTTGTTATTCTGTCTCTCAATCTTCAAATAAACCTACCATTAAAATTATAGACTGATCATGTCTTTGTCAGTGGGAAAACGTACAAAATCAGCAGGGGATCAAATCCTTTTTTCCCTCACTGTATATGAACATATCTACCTCAATTACCTCGTACCCCTGCACATCGACTCGGTACTTACCCTGTTTATATAGCCAAGTTATCGATACTCTGTGTGTATTTATTCCTCGTATTATTTTTCTAGTATTTCTCTTTTTTTCTCTCTGCATTGTTGGGAAGGACCCGTAAGCATTTCACTGCTAGTCCACACCTGTTGTTTATGAAGCATGTGACAAATAACATTTGATTTAATGTGTTACCTTCTATTCCCTGGGGCTCTCTGTCCAGGGTGCGAGTCTTGTTCCTCAGGGCCTCCCCGGAGCCATCGATCCAGATGTAGGTGACCTGACACAAGTCCCCCTGAGGGAGGGACATGTAGTGCTGATGGATGGCCTTGTTTAGACGAGAGCTGACTGACACAGATGCCATGGCTAAGTGTTGAGTCTGAGGGGGTCAAAGAGACAGAGAAACAGACACTCGAGAACACACGCTGTATAGGGACACATAGTTCAACAGGTAATTCTTCATGGTTGTTTCATCAACCGGTGTCATCAGCAAGTGTTGAACAAGTTCATGTACCATTCCATTCACTTGTCCCCTGTGTAAATTAGAATTGAGCAACACATTCCATATGAACATGAACACATTCCTATTTTACAAAATGTATTTTCATTCCAATCCTTTAATCGGATAAATGCTTTGATCCACCCAAGCCTGGTGGATTTCTGATGCTTTCAACAACATTTCAACCATACAGGGCTGTGTGTTGGTCTGAAACAGCAGTGGCAAAACAACAGTCTCAGTAAGACTATAGGTCACCTTTCCACCTCTACCTTTGTGTAAACAAACCACTAAAGCCAAAGGGGGGGATAATCAGTAGCAAAACCAAACAACAAGGAAAAGCCTAAATGCACAGCCCCTAAAAATATTAGAATAATCTGAAGTAATCTGAATGCCGTGATGGATATACATACAGTAGAGTACAAAAAGTAAAGGCATAAAAATACAAATGTTTTGTCAATGGGTCTTCATCAAAAATCACTTTAACAAATAATTTGGGAGCACACAACTGTATTTGTAGGTTTATTTTTCTTACATTTAACTATTTGCTCTACCTGACACTTGGTAACTTTCACTGGATGTGCACACATTCAGACCTGGGCAGGAAATAGTTGTATTTTGTAGTTTATTTGAAAATACCAACTTTTCAAATGCTTGAGGTAGTTGAATATAGTTTATATAGAATTACAACTAAAAGGCAACCATTTTATTTGATATTCAAATACAGGTCTCAGATAAACCAATAATATTTTAAAGTATTTTGAATACCTCTCAGAAAACGAAACATTTGAATGTATGTGAATATATGCAAGTTATTTGAAAACAAACAAATATTTATTTGATGGCTGCCAACTATTTGATGAAGAACCAAAAACTACAACAGTTCGTTGAATTAGTCTAAATACACTGCTCAAAAAAATAAAGGGAACACTTAAACAACACAATGTAACTCCAAGTCAATCACACTTCTGTGAAATCAAACTGTCCACTTAGGAAGCAACACTGATTGACAATAAATGTCACATGCTGATGTGCAAATGGAATAGACAAGAGGTGGAAATTATAGGCAATTAGCAAGACACCCCCAATAAAGGACTGGTTTTGCAGGTGGTGACCACAGACCACTTCTCAGTTCCTATGCTTCCTGGCTGATGTTTTGGTCACTTTTGAATGCTGGCGGTGCATTCACTCTAGTGGTAGCATGAGACGGAGTCTACAACCCACACAAGTGGCTCAGGTAGTGCAGCTCATCCAGGATGGCACATCAATGCGAGCTGTGGCAAGAAGGTTTGCTGTGTCTGTCAGCGTAGTGTCCAGAGCATGGAGGCGCTACCAGGAGACAGGCCAGTACATCAGGAGACGTGGAGGAGGCCGTAGGAGGGCAACAACCCAGCAGCAGGACTGCTACCTCCGCCTTTGTGCAAGGAGGAGCAGGAGGAGCACTGCCAGAGCCCTGCAAAATGACCTCCAGCAGGCCACAAATGTGCATGTGTCTGCTCAAATGGTCAGAAACAGACTCCATGAGGGTGGTATGAGGGCCCGACGTCCACAGGTGGGGGTTGTGCTTACAGCCCAACACCGTGCAGGACGTTTGGCATTTGCCAGAGAACACCAAGATTTGCAAATTCGCCACTGGCGCCCTGTGCTCTTCACAGATGAAAGCAGGTTCACACTGAGCACGTGACAGACGTGACAGAGTCTGGAGACGCTGTGGAGAACGTTCTGCTGCCTGCAACATCCTCCAGCATGACCGGTTTGGCGGTGGGTCAGTCATGGTGTGGGGTGGCATTTCTTTGGGGGGCCGCACAGCCCTCCATGTGCTCGCCAGAGGTAGCCTGACTGCCATTAGGTACCGAGATGAGATCCTCAGACCCCTTGTGAGACCATATGCTGGTGCGGTTGGCCCTGGGTTCCTCCTAATGCAAGACAATGCTAGACCTCATGTGGCTGGAGTGTGTCAGCAGTTCCTGCAAGAGGAAGGCATTGATGCTATGGACCGCCCGTTCCCCAGACCTGAATCCAATTGAGCACATCTGGGACATCATGTCTCACTCCATCCACCAACGCCACGTTGCACCACAGACTGTCCAGGAGTTGGCGGATGCTTTAGTCCAGGTCTGGGAGGAGATCCCTCAGGAGACCACCCGCCACCTCATCAGGAGCATGCCCAGGCGTTGTAGGGAGGTCATACAGGCACGTGGAGGCCATACACACTACTGAGCCTCATTTTGACTTGTTTTAAGGACATTACATCAAAGTTGGATCAGCCTGTAGTGTGGTTTTCCACTTTAATTTTGAGGGTGACTCCAAATCCAGACCTCCATGGGTTGATAAATTTGATTTCCATTGATAATTTTTTTGTGATTTTGTTGTCAGCACATTCAACTATGTAAAGAAAAAAGTATTTAATAAGATTATTTTATTCATTCAGATCTAGGATGTGTTATTTTAGTGTTCCCTTAATTTTTTTGAGCAGTGTATATGATCAAAAGCACATGGTTTGGAGGGCTCTTAGATATGAATCTTAATATAGCCTATAGCCTAGAATGAAATACATGAGGGACATGGAATCACATCAACAATAGAGTAGACCACTTTTGAAGCTTCAAAATGACTAACAAATCTATTTTCATAATGAGTGAGACATAAGGTAAGACAGTAACACTTGACATCAAGTTCTTATGTGTAGTAACTTTGTGATTATTACAATAGCAACATTGTTGTTACATTGGACTTTGGAAATTGCTTTATTAATGCATAATAATGGAGTTATTACACAAGTGGAATAAGGAACAGTACCTATTCCTCTTGCTTACAGGAGTTACAAAAACTCTCAGCTCATTCCTATGCAATTAAAATGCAATTACCAAAGTATTATGTAACATGCTATTAAAATGTTGCTCCAAAAGTAATTACCGTTTTATTACACAGGCACAAGAACAGTTTCATGTTAAGTGCTACTGAGAATGCTAACAGTAACAAAATATGGCTATTAAGTGTTGAAAGGAAATTAAATATCCCAAAACTGCCTTCAACTAAAGCCAAGGTAGGTGGAAAATTGTTAGTTTGTATTCTGAGTAAATTATCCCTTTAAAAATGGTATTGTGTTTGAAACAAGAACACTTACCCTCAGATGGACAAAGTTGTTGTTTTTTTCTAAGCATCCATCTTGCTGTTTGCAATGTTTGCAAATGGCTTTGAATTAAGGTGTAGTATTTTCAGGTATCATAAAATGTATCACAGCTTTTGACCTTTTCAGTGGTATGTTGAAAGAGTCATACTGTAGCAGTGGTGTAAAGTACTTACATAAAAATACTTTAAAGTACTACTTAAGTCATTTTTGGGGGTATCTGTGCTTTACTTTACTATTTATATTTTTGACTACTTTTACTTCACTACATTCCTAATGAAAATAATGTACATTTTACTTCATACATTTTCCCTGACACCTAAAAGTACTTGTTACATTTTGAATGCTTAGCAGGACAGGAAAATGGTCAAATTGACACCCTTATCAAGAGTACATCCTTGGTCATCCCTACGGCCTCTGATCTGGCGGTCTCATTAAACACAAATGCTTCATTTGTAAATTATGTCTGAGTGTTGGAGTGTGCCCCTGGCTATCCGTAAATTTGAAAAACAAGCAAATGGTGCTGTCTGGTTTGCTTAATATTAGGAATTTCTAATGATTTATACTTTTACTTGTAATACTTAAACATGCACTTTGCATAAATCGCTCCACCATTTCCTGGTTGCTAAAATTCTAATAGTTTGCCTAATTTCAGTTATGTGACAAAACAAGCAGTCATTGTGTAGAGAATCATTGTACCATCTAAACCGCTGTGAAATATATTTTCCATAACCAAAAAGATTGTACATTCAGCTGTTTGAAGCTGGTGTACAAAACCAAAAGTGTACACCAGAAAATATGCATAAAAAAAACTTCAGAACATGGGCATTGTGAAGAGACCTTTGCTGGCATGTCTTGTGGGGTATGCATGGGTGTCCGAGCTATGTGCTAGTAGTTTAAACAGACACCTCGGTGCATTCAGCATGTCTTACAAAAACAAGTAATGATGAAGTAAATCTCTCCTCCACTTTGAGCCATGAGCGCTTTACATGCATATTATTGTTAGCTCTCCGTGTACATTTAAGGGCCAGCCGTGCTGCCCTGTTCTGAGCCAACTGTAATTTTCAGAGGTCTCTCTTTGTGGCACCTGACCACACGACTGAACAGTAGTCCAGGTGCGACAAAACTAGAGCCTGTAGGACCTGCCTTGTTGATAGTGTTGTTAAAAAGGCAGAGCAGCGCTTTATTATGGACAGCCTTCTCCCCATTTTAGCTACTGTTGTATCAACATGTTTTGACCATGACAGTTTACAATCCAGGGTTACTCCAAGCAGTTTAGTCACCTCAATTCGCACATTATTTATTACAAGAGTTAGTTGAGGTTTAGGGTTTAGTGAATGATTTGTCCCAAATACAATGCTTTTTATTTTTTTTATATATATTTAGGACTAATTTATTCCTTGCCACCCATTGTGAAACTAACTCCAGCATGTCCTAGGAGTTTCACGTTCTTTGACATCATCTGTACTTCCAAAGTTGTTATTATAGAGAAACATCTTTACTTACTGTTTTATGGGTGAAGTAAGGAGTTGATTCTCCTGAAGCAGTGCTCTGATCTCTCTTCCTCTTTTCCTCTCAGCCTTAGATCATCCAAGTCGACTGAGACAACTTAACCTGTTTAGGGTTTTTCACAGGTTATGTAAATAGGGGGTTGTGACGTAGTCTCATCACTGACGTCTGACCTATCAATCAACCAGTTTCCCTTCTTTGAAGTTCAGTGTCTTTCATAGAAATAATTACACAACATGTTGTTAAACATGTTTCTAAAAATGTTTCTTTAATCTACATCAGGCTTTGACTAGTTTGTAAATAGTGTCTTGTGATGTAAATATACTGT